GTGTTTCAAGACGGGCAGGATAGAGGAATTTCGCCAGCATCCCGAACACGCAGGAACCCGAACGGGCCCGCCGAAAGAGGCGCGTGCTCAAGGTCCTCGACTGCCATGACGGGCACCCGTGGGGGGTTTAAGTCGCTCCCAACCGCAATGCCGGTCCCAGCAGCCCATGCTGGCAGGCACCCCACGTCCAACAAGGGGGGCGACAACACAGTCGCCGTCCACCCCTGCCCAGACGGGAGCGCACGACTTCCCCTCCATCCGCCTCTCGCTCGGCAATTTCAAGCACTCTTTAACTCTCTTTTCAAAGTTCTTTTCATCCTTCCCTCGCGGTACTTCTTCGCTATCGGTCCTTCGCACATATTTAGCCTTGGATGGGACTTACCACCCAATTGGGGCTGCATTCCCAAGCAACCCGACTCTTGGACAACACCTCGTTGCGCAGCAGGGTTCGGCGGTCGACGGGGCTGTCACCCTCGTCGGCGTCCCCTTCCAGGAAACTTGCACATGGCCCGCTGCAGAGGTTGCGTCTCAAGACTACATTTTACGGAGCAACACAACCCCTGGATTTTCAGTCTAGGCTATTCCCGGTTCGGTCGCCGCTACCAAGGGAATCCTCATTGGTTTCTCTTCCTCCGCTTAGTTATATGCTTAAATTGGGCAGGTGCTCCTGCCCGACCTGAGATCAAAAGGCAAGGCCCGACGTACCTCCACAGCTCGAGGCCGACACCCCCAACCGCAAGCCCACCTCAAGCTGATGGGAGCGAATGGAAGGCGGCGACCACACAAACCAGAGGGACGACCTTACGTGCCATTTTCAGGGAAACGAAGACCACCACCCACAAACGGGTGCTGGAGGGGAACAACAGGGGGGAGCGAAACGCACCACTCTGGGCTGCGGCCCCCACAGGCCCGCTCGGAATGCTCTCCAATTCCCTTCCACTTTAGGCTATCGACGCTCTCCAAGTGGGAAGCGAGGGAAGCCACGACCACGGACCCCACCACTCTCCGAAACGGAAGGTGCTGAGGTCGTGMGGAATCCAATGATGCTCAGGCGGGCGTGCCCTCAGCAGAAGCCTTGGGCGCCACATTCGTTCAAGGTATCGATGGCTCACGGACTTCTGCAATTCACATTCAGTATTGCGTTTCGCTGTGCTCTTCATCGTTGCGAGGGCCAAGATATTCGTTTGCCAAGAGTTCTACAATATGGTGTCGTTCCGACAGGACTGACCCCTCGACCAGAACAGAAGGGGGCCGTCAACCCAGACAGCGACAAATCAGAGCAGGTACATCAATAAGAAGTTGCAAAGTCGTCGCCAGCAGCCGCTGCCACGGGCCCGCCCGACCCCCCGTTTCAGGGGCCAGGTAGGGCACTGGGGAGCAGCGGGGCAACGAGGGTGCAAGCGTTGTCTCCTCCCCCCCCCCCAACCCGACACCACCCCGTTCACAACCAAAACCCTCCCCCAACTGCCCTCCACCCCGAGATTCAGACCACCTCGATTGTGTCGAGGACAACGATCTGTCCGGAAAGGAGAACCCCGTTGGGAAGGACGGCAGGATGAAACAGGGAGGGGCCGAGGACCCAAACACACCCCGCCCCTAGCCTGTACCACGACCCTCGATCCTCAAACAAGCCACAAACTCCGCACGAAGCCGAGGTCGAGGCCGGGATGGAAAGGAGGTCTGAACAAAAATGAGACGGGAAGGAGCGGGGGTACGTAGGCCGAGGACAGCCGCCACCACCCGACATCCCGCCCCTGACCGTCCCGCAGGGCTGTCCGTGCCCGGACCAACCGCCATCCTGACCAGAAGTCGAGAGTGGGGTTGTCCGTGCCCCGCGGAGGCGAGACGGGATGAAGGGGGAGCAACGCCACAAGGCCCCGGACCCTTCCCACTCCCCATACCCTCGACCTACACCACGCGCCCCTCTGCGCCGGGCCAGCCGCCAGCTGGGCACTAAGCCCAAGATGGTGCTGAAACGGAAGAGAAAAACGGATGCAGGGAGGATGGGGGCAAAGGACGGCGGAAGGGCGAGCAAGTCAGCGTCCCACACCCCGAAGATCAGCCATTCACGTGTCAATCATCCTTCCGCAGGGTCACCTACGAAAACCTTGTTACGACTTCTCCTTCCTCTAAATGATAAGGTTCAATGAACTTCTCACAGCACCCCCAGCGGCAAACCGCCGAGATCACCGCAATCCAGACACTTCACCGGACCATTTTATCGGTAGGAGCGACGGGCGGTGTGTACAAAGGGCAGGGACGTAATCAGCGCGAGCTGATGACTCGTGCTTACTAGGCATTCCTCGTTCAAGATCGATAATTACAACAATCTATCCCCATCACGATGAACCTTAAGAAGGTTACCCGGCCCTTTCGACCCAGGCAAGCGACTCGTTGGATTCATCAGTGTAGCGCGCATGCGGCCCAGAACATCTAAGGGCATCACAGACCTGTTATTGCCTCAAACTTCCGTTCGCTAGTCATGCAACAGTCCCTCTAAGAAGCTGGCCATGAGGAAAGGTCCCCGCGTACCTATTTAGCAGGCTGAGGTCTCGTTCGGTAACGGAATTAACCAGACAAATCACTCCACCAACTAAGAACGGCCATGCACCACCACCCATAGAATCAAGAAAGAGCTCTCAATCTGTCAATCCTTGCTATGTCTGGACCTGGTGAGTTTCCCCGTGTTGAGTCAAATTAAGCCGCAGGCTCCACGCCTGGTGGTGCCCT